AGCCATACCAAGTTCCATTACCTCTTGGCTTTCTGTTTGAGATGGATGGTTTGCCAAAAAATTGGCTAAAACTTGTCTTTTTACTGCCTTTTGGAGAACATATTCTAAATGAAATTCTGATAAGGCTAAAATCCATTTGCCAATTATTCCCCTCAACATAGGTCTAGATAACATATACTTAACTAAATCTGTGGTTGCAAGACAGTTGTAGGCAAAAGATAGTATCTTAATTTCGTTGCAGCAAAATACAATGCAAGGCATAATTTTTCTACAGCTGAGTATTTACATTCACAAGAATTTAAAAACCTACTAAGGTAATAAACAGCTTGCTCCTTGCCTTCTTTATTGTCTTGGGCCAAAAAGGCTCCCAATGAATCATCTGCTGCAGCTATGTACAACTTCAAGGGCTTATCACCCTTTAGTGGCATCAGCACTGGAGGGTTGGCCAAGTAGGCTTTGATACCTTCGAAAGCAATTTGATGTTCTGCTGTCCACGCAAATTCCTTTTCATCTTTTAGCCTTAATAAGGAAGAAAATACTTTAGTTTTCCCTGCAATGTTAGAAATAAATCTTCGAAGAAAATTAACCTGTCCAATGAACTTTTGTAATTCTTTCTTACTTGATGGAGGTCTGGCTTCAATGATGGCATTGGCTTTATTCTGGTCAATCTGTATTCCTCTCTTGTGTACTACATACCCCAAGAAGTTTCCAGATGATACGCCAAAAGCACACTTAAGAGGATTGAGTTTCAACTGGATAAGCTGGTCAATTTCTTGCCCCTCTTGATTCTCATCTCCAGCTTGGAATTCATGCGATAGTATGTGTACCATGTTCACTGACACTGAGTCAAATTGGATGGTTGGCTGTGTCTGTTTCTCCTTTTGGCCACATTGTTCAGTTACTCCAGAAGCATCCTCCATGCTTCTCTCTGGCACTTCATCCTTCGAATGGTCTGTCACGACTGGCATTTTCAACCAGAAATGTTTGTTCAGCCATAAAGGCTTCGAACATTTCTTCCTCAAACATTTCTTTCTTTTGGCCCAAGCCAACTTCTTTCTCCGTCTCGCTATCACTCTCCATCAATGCCTTCTCCAATCCTGCTAAATTGGACTTCTCTCTGGCTTTTAGTTTAGAGTGAACTTTGGCCAACTGTTCTCTGTTGCAACCCATTTTGCCTTGTAGAGTTGGTTTTGGAGTATGGTCTGACTTTGGATTCTTCTTTCCTTTTGTCTGTACCAATGAAGAACTCTCTCCACTCTCTTTCAGGTCTTGCTGGTACTGAGTGTACCTACGCTGAATTTTCCTCCTTTGTGATCTAGAAATTACGGTGACCATATCTGGTTCCTTTGTTTTTGGGTGTTTAAGCAATACCCAATTATTTGGAGCCACCAAAGGAGGTTTGACCATCCTACCTTGGTTTCCAATTACCTCTTTTTGGGTAAACACTTCCCTAGGTTTGTTCTGCATCACAAACCAATCTGGAACTCCAGGTACCCACGAATTTACTGACCCAGCTGTTGAACTGTTTTTTTCTTCCTTCGAAGTCACCCTCGAAGCTGGCCGTGAAGGCCACTGTTTGGCCTTGACTTCATGCTTTGGGCCTAACTCAGGCCTTTGATGAAGGTGTCCACTTTCTGTCCTGCGTGAGGCTGGCCTAGGGGGCCAATCTCTGGCTTTAATCCCATAAACTGAACCTCTCTCCAGTCTCCTCTCAGAATGACTGCTCTCTATTCTGTAATAATTAGGTGGCCTGGACTCATGTAAAGGCCTCTTGCGCGTGGAATGCATTCTATCAGCTGTTGGTTCAATCCTCAATGGCTGCGCTGCCTAACACCAGATGGATATGGCCTTTTATTGTAAGCATTAGTTGGTTTAGGACGTCTCTGCACATCCTTGTAATATTGCTTCCTATCAATTGGAAGTCCTTTCAACCACTTGTAGCTTAGTCTGCACCTAGGACACATCTTTTGCATTACAACTGCCTCTAAGGAATCGTCATCCAGTGCTTCTTCATCAGAGTCTTCCCTCTGGTGTGAGAAACCTTGTCCAATAGTTGGAAGATTTTCAGTATCTTTCTTGATAGTTGTCTGGTTGGCCACATGCATCTGCACATTGACTTCTTCCAATTCTTTCAAAGACAGGTTCTGAAAGTCCGGCATAATGACATTAGTTGCCACCTCTCCAATTTCTGAAAATGGATTACTGTCGATCCCCATGGCCTTTTTAGCTTTGACTGGGAATTTCAAACTTCCTTTCTGAATTTGTTCTTGGATCCTATCTCGAAAAACAATACAGTTCTTAGTTGAGTGAGACTAAGAATTATACCATTTACAATATACTTTTCCTTTAAGTTCATCAAGAGATGGAATTTTAACCCTTTTTGGTAACTTAAGGAAGTTGGCCGCAAGCAAATGATCAAAAATGTCATCTGCCTTAGTTAAATCGAAAGAGTATTTCCTGTGAATGTCTTTCTTTTTAAACTGCTGGTCAATTATTGTATCCTTATGAATCAATGTTTCACAGATCACAGATTCTTTCCCCATAATCTCTGCTGCGTCGATCTCATAATTACAATCTCATAATTAGGATCTCTATAATATGTCTTGTACGATACATTATTTCGATCTTGTTCCTCTTCTAGTAATGCTTCGTATCTAGACACCTTATAAGTGAGTTCTACTAAGTCTCTGAACTCAGTCGAGTCAAACTTCTTTCGAAGCCTAAACTCTAAGCCATTTTAAGCCAATCTCACGAATTCTGGCTCTGGCAGGATGACTGTACATTTATTTCGAGCCCTTTTAAATCTGGCAATAAACTGAGTAGCCTTCTCGTCAGGCCTTTGACTCAATCTTGCCAAGTCTGCCATGGAAACCTCTGGCTCCAATTGGAAGAATTGGGCATGAAATGCCTCTTCCATTTGTTGCCAAGTTTGGATAGAGCCAGGTGTAAGGTTAATATACCATACAAATGCTCCCCCAGTTAGGGAATTTGAGAATAACTTTAACTTCATATAGTCATTATTAGTAAATTCACCGCATTGAGCAGCAAACCTAGCAATATACTCCACTGTTGATTGGTTTCCATTCCCATAAAAAAGGGCAAAATCTGGTATCCTGAAACCTCTTGGGTATTCATGTACCCTGTCCACCCATTCTGGGTATGGTTTCCTATACACTGGAGTCTGGACTCCCCGGGCCATTGATCCACACATCTCTCTAACAATGTCAGCAATTTGGTCCCTAAGGACCATATTTTGTGCCTGTTGAACCACTACTGGAGGGGCAAACACAGGATTTGGTGGGCAAAACTGTGTCTGTGGTCCTCTTGGTCCATAAGGTGGTATATTTGGAACTGGTTGTCCCTGTGGTGCAGATTGTTGTTGGGGGTGTGGGTGACTCCTTTTAGCCTGTCCTAAAAAAGGACTTGCGAAAAGTGCTGGAACTGGTGTTGTGTCTCTTCCATTTATAAGAAAACCTTCCAACCCCCCGGGTGTAAATTCGAATAAGGGATTAGTAAACCCCCTTGTGCCAGGTATGGCTTCGAACATGAGATTTGGAACCATTCTTATGCCATTTTCTTGTACTGGGCCAGATCCACCAAATTGCATGGCTTCACTGTTAAATACTGAGACATTTTGACCTGCTATAGGCCTCGGAATAAGTTCGTACCAAGACTGAGTTAATGGTCTTTCATAGTTTTGATTACTAGTTTGACTATTAGAATGTCCATTAACTTGCATAGGCTGTTTATCTCTAGCCAATCTTTGCTGAGAGACATTTAAAACTTCCTCCATGTGTCTTGTGTTTGTTGTTTGGTGGTTATTCATTTGATCCAAAAAGGATGTTGCCCACCTTTTCATTGTGTTCATTAATTGTTGTCCCATAGCATCTACTAGGCCACTCCATGGATTTATTAACTGAGTAGATGAAACAACGGATGGTCCAATTCCTTGGTTTCGTCCAATATCATGAACATGTGGTACTTGTTCTGAAGTGCTGGTCTGTTCGACCATAAGTTCTAATAAAATGGGAGTTTCCACAGGATGTGTTATCACATTATCCTCCGGATTAGGTATCTCTACCTCTCCTTCCACGCCTTCTTCCAAGCGTTCATTTTCTCCTTATCTCCTACGTCTAGCCATTTCAATTAGTCTCACTGGACGTGCCAAAATATATGTTGGCTTTTTGGCTTTCGAAGGTTATTTTTGTAATTGCGAGCGTACCAGCAAGGATCAATTAGTCCTTACAGAGAATTAATTGCCAACCAATTATCAAACGATTGTGTTTTAGTTCTTTCAACCTCAATGAGGAGGGCTTTTATTGGTGGCTTGATTTAGAAGAATTAAACAAGATAACAATTAAATGAAGAACAATTGAAGCATCTCATTAAAATGAAAAACTTACAATAATCCAAACTCAGCCTCGTAGAGGTTTACAGCGACAATCTACTACCTAAAACTACTCTTATGAATGAAGTGCAGTGCAGGAATTTAAAGTACAGGAATGTAAAGAACAGGAAATATAAGACTGGAAATGTAAAACTAGAAACAAAAATAAGTAGAATAAGACTGATTTTTTTTATCTGAGTCTGAGGGCTTTTTCTGGGGTCTTCTTTGCTATTTATACTGCTCAAGAATGACCATCGAACTGCATTTCTAACCGTCGAACTGCTCCTCCATGATCGCTAATCATGTTGCCTCAAGATTAGCTCCATTACGCCATTACTTGCAGTTAGGCTTCCCTCCTAAATTTGAATTTGAAATGTGAATAACTGTTGAAGCCACATCACCTTGCATCTCTTTGTTGATCCACTGCTACTCAGATCTCGTAATAACCAATACTAATTGCCACGTGTACGATCAGGATCGAAGACTTAAATAGGCTTCCTATATTATCCTTATTTTGCCACACGTCGAATTATAATTGGCTTGTACAAAATATGTAGCCAACACTAATATTTCGTCACAAAATGTCCCAATTTGGTCACAAAAAACAAAATAATGACATTTTCAACAACAAATATATTTGGTTACTAAAATTCAAATTATGTTCTTTACAACATACTTTCGTCGCTAAAACTCAATTTGAAAATAAATAAATAAAATAAAAAAATTGGCATACTCATCAAAGCTCTCAATTCCCAAACCATAATGAACAGAAAGTAAAATTTTACAAGAAAATAAAACTAAATGATGGCAGCCTCTAATGTGATCAAAGCAAAAATTAGAACAAACCAAAAATGGCAATGAGAAGAATTGTTCAAGACATTAGTCGGCACCATAACTACCTGTAAAACCATAAAAAAAACATACCTTAGTACAAGTACCCATCAATCAAAAAAGAAATATATATATATATATATAATACTTCTAAACCATTCAATTACAATAAAAACTTAATGGCACTTTACCCCCTATGGTTTGAGCCAGGTACAGATCACTCCTGACATTTTGAAATCATCACATAATCCCCATAAGGTTTGTAGACTAAAACGCACAGTTAACATTTCCGTCCAAAAAAACAGACTATGAGAGCCGTGTGCCCCTGTGGAGAACAAGTCAATTTTTAAGACGAAAATACCCTTTTACATCTTTAAATTTACCAAAGATGCCATTATTTTTTCTCTCCCCTTATTTCTATTGTTTCTCTCTCTACTCTGCAATTAAATAATAGCACACTCATATATATACATAGAAATGAAATGATTTCCATTAAAATCTATCTTAACTTGATATCAATGGCAGCTCATCTCTTACAATTAAATAATAACAATCATATATTACCCATATATATATATATATATATATATATAGAAATAATATATATATATATATCTGATACACACACATATATATATATATATATATATATATGAGTGTATATAGGGGGGTTTTTGATCTGTTACATATATATATATATGATCTGTTTTTTTTTCTTGATCTGTTTTTCCCATACAGATCTGCCTAGTACTGCTACTCATACCAGCCTCTCTGCTGTGGA